CACTGACTAGACGCCGTGGCTTGGCTACTGCCACCATTCAACTGGTAACTTCTCCTTGATGCCTGAGTACAATCAGCCTCAAAGGGGCCCATGCATTAAAAGGTGTATGACAGCCAGGTGTGGTGGCACATGCCTATAATCCCAGCAACTCAATAGGCTGAGGGAGAAGGATTGCAAGTTTAAGGCTAATCTCAGCCATTTAGGGAGGCCCTAAACAACTTAGCAAGACCCTGTCTCAAAATAACAAATAAAAAGTGATGCGGATGTAGTTCACTGATAAAGCACCTCTAGGTTCAATCCCCAGTACCCAATAAAAAAAACCATATAAGATAACAGGTGAAATGTCCAAAAAAGAAAATGCATCACTGCCCATTTCTTGTGCTGGCCAGGGATACCTTGGAATACACTTAAGTTCAGGCTCTTGAAGGTTGTTCACAGGCAGCTCCCATTTTGCAATTCCCAGTGGCTTTGCAGCCACATTGCCAGCTCCAGGCCTGTGTCAGTTGACTGGCTGCAAGGCAGCCTTATTGATAGTGCTGCTAACAGTGGTGTGGCAGTCCAACCCCAAGGTGAAACATGAATCCCCTGACCTTGCCCTAACTTACCTTGGGCATCTCTTGAGGATGGGCAAGCTAGTAAGTCTTGCAGGGGCTGGCAGAAGTTCTGGAATGGCACAGGCTTGCACTGAGGTTCACTGAACCCCAGAGGCACTTGGTGGAGGCAAGAGCTGCTCCTGGATTGGACTTAAAAAAACCTCTTTGCTTTTTAAATTCAACATGTGGGGTGGGCACCTAATTTCACCTTCTGGGCATTCCACCCCCTTGTGTTGACAGTGCTTCTCTTCCTTTGGGGGAAATTCCTTCTTCCCTCTGAGCTTTGGCTGGAGGGATCCTTTCCAGCATTTGTACCTCAGTTAAATGTAATCTTCTTAAGAGACCTGCCCTGACTGCCTCCCATGGCTATCTTATCACCCTGCTTTGATTCCTTTTACACCTCTCTGGAATGTTTTGGGGTTGTTGTTGTTTTGTACTGGGGATTTGAATCCAGGAGTGTTATGCCACTAAGCTATACCTCTAGCCCCTTTTGAAATATGGTCTCACTAAGTCACCAATGCTAGCCTTGAACCTTCAATCCTTTTGCCTAAGCCTCCTGAGTCACTGGGACAATGGGTGTGTATCACCACGCCCAGCTTCTGGAATGATCTTGATGGCTTGTGTGTGAAGTCTCCACAGGAGACTGCAAGGTCTGTGGAGCAAGGACCTTGACCTCCTGGATTGCTGCTATCCTCATTACATTTCCTGTCCCTGGCAGAATGCTTTGCCACAGCAGGTGTTCCCTAACAGCTGCTGGGCAAACTGTCCTTTATGGAGCCCTCCTCCACCACCCTAAGCCTGGCTAGCAACCTGTGAGATACTGGGTGGTGGCAGAGTTGCAGAGACCTGAAACCACCTGGTCCTTGCCACTCCTGAGGTCCGACTGGTCAACACCTCCTTGACTCTGAAGTTATGCCTAACTTCCGACATGGCTGCAAAGAAGGAATTTTTAGAGCTATTAGCCACATTTCTTTTCAATTGGCTCACAACAGCCCCCCCCCAAAAAAAAAAAAACCATTATCTAAGTTACTATGTTTAAAACCTTCATATTTAAAATAACTGCATTTGGGCTGGGGATATAGCTCAGTTGCTAGAATGTTTGCCTTGCATGCACAAGGCCCTGGGTTCAATCCCCAGGAGCACAAACAACAAAAACCCTGCATTCTATCTAGATGTAAGATCATCCTATCTCACAATTTATTTAACCAATCAACTATGGCAGCTGTGTAGACTATCCTACATCTCTGCATTTATGAATAGTATTTCTATGAACACCACTGTTATAAGCTTTTTTAGAAAGGTTACAGAAGGATGGCTTCTTAGAATTGGAATTGTGGGGCTAGAGAGATGGCATGAACATTTTAAGGAGCTTGATGACACTTCTTGCAAAACTTCCCACAGCAGATATTCCAGTAACCTGCTTCACCATGCAGTGGCCAGCACTTATTATTCATCTGCATTCACATGCCAAGCAGGACTGGTGCACACTAATTCTGGTTTGAGTTGGTTCCGCAGATGTTGTACATTCTTAGTCAAGACTTTATGGTCAGTCTTAAGGTTGTTTTTCTTTTTCCTTTATTGTCCCTTACATAGCAAGGCCATAAACATGGTTTTGTGTTTGTCATTGCATGTTTCCTCCCTTTCTACTAGTGTAATCTAGCTTTTAGGGTTACTTTTTCACCCCACCTCCCTGCTCTTCTCTTTGCTTTCAGGAATGCCAGCTGCTTCCAGCTTCCAGTTCCTGGTGAGCAGAGTGGGGAAGAGTGGCCGCCATTCACCCCTGAGAACCAGACTCCATCATCAGATCTCCTTTCACAGCATGATGCTGGCAGGGAAGGTGTAGACACACGTGAGCACACTGTTCTCATCATGAAAAAGGGAAACCAAACCCTACCTGAAGAGGGACTAAGAAGGACCTGGGGAAGAAAATCTTTGAGGGTACATACCTAAGTTTTAAATAAAATATCAGACCACTAAGGACCTAAAATATTCTGAGTTATCTATTCCACCTTCCCTCATACTAGACACGGGACGAGCCTGAGAGGGGAGTGACCCTGGCTTTTCTAGTGATGTTAGCTCCAGTATCCATCATCATATAACAGAAGTTACTGAGGCTTCAACATACCAACCCCTGTAACAATGTGCAATAAGAAAGCTAAGTTAAATCACAAAAAGAAGTCAACGAAGAATTTCTTGCTGGCTTGCCCGATAGTAAATCAAATACACAGGCAGTTTCCATACTAGCAAAATACTTTTATTATTTTTATAGTGATAAAACAAAGAAAGTAAAGGTTTCTTTTTGGTGTATACCAGAGTTAAGGGAAGTAGAAGAATAGGGAATTAACAGGATTTTTATGTACTTTTGATGACCATAAAAAGTTAACAATACCAACTGTTTGCCATAAAACTTATCATAGCTCCCCCAAAACACATATATAAAGGATCATAGTTTTAAAATCTATAAAAGTAAAAAATATACAGTCGGAAGCTCTAACGCTTATTCCATCTTCAATATAAAATTGTAAACATTTATTTACACAAAGCACATGTGTATAATGAAAGTCCGAGCACCCTTTTCTTCTGAGTCGTGGCTCTGGGAAGATGGGGATGTGCACGGAAGCAGAGTCATCTCCTCCCCTGACTCCCCAAAGCCAGATTCATAAATAAAGCCATGGGCAGCTCCCAGGGGGACCCCAAGAATCACATTTTATTGCTATGACACTGCAGCAAGTGAGAAGCCCACTGTCTGTGGAGCCGGCTGAGTCTAAGGCAGAGTGCAGGGGCCGGCAAGTGCTTGGGGCACAGAGGCAGAAGGCGGGCAGCAGCTGGGGGAGACCAGGAGAGGAACAAGGATCCAAAACCAGCCTTCAGCCCTGTTTTTGGTAGAAAACCCACTGAAGTCACCCTCTTCCCCTTCAGATTGGGGAACTTGCTCAGAGGGTGGAGTCTTCACTGGCTTTATGATTCATCCCCTTAAGAGCTAAATTGAGTATCTGGGGAAGGCTGGGAGAATGGTTAAAGGGGAAATGGCCCACACACAACTGGTGGTGGCAAATGGCTATCAGAAACGAGGATCTGAGGGTCCAAGTACCCCCAGTGAAAAAGGCACTGCTGGTGCAAACTAATTACCAACCTGTGTACAACCCTTTCATCCTTCCAAAGTGATCCAGTCTGATCACAGGAGTATTCTCCTTGGCTCATATCTTCACATGATACTCCATTAATGATCTATTTTGAGACTCTAGGGAAACAGAGAGGGGGTTGTGGTTTCTCCACAGACCACTGCATATGCCACTCTTTTCAGTGGACTCTTTTCCCTCCACCACCTGTGTAAAGAGTTTTGCACTGCGCTCACCATCTTGCTTTCAATATGAAGAAGTGCTCTTTCTTGTTTTCCACAAACAGCCCACACACCATATTCCATTCTGTGGGCTCTCAGCTCAGTCAAGTCCATTAACTAATAGACCTTCAAAGAGAATCCATTTAAATCTTTAGAGGATGTGTTAGTGTTATAAAGCAATCTTTAAAAGTGCAAGTCATCTGATGTGGGAGTGGCAGAAGTCAGCTAAGTAGAATCCCTTCCCCTGGGCTGGCCTGCAGCCTCCTTCCCCAAACCTTTATAGTGCTAGGGGTTCCCCAAGGACTTTTAATGACTCTTTCCCCCCTGCAATGTAGTAAATCACTGTTCCTATTATGGCTGGAGAGAGGAAGAAGGGGAAGCAGAAAGAAAGGTCATGGGAAAAGAAGATGGGGTAGAAAAAAGACATCTACACACAACTGAACAATGATTATGCTCCACCATGTTAGTACAAATTGCCAGAGAAGCTGCAAAAGGTGGAGAGTCTTAACACATGGGGATACTAGATCTCCGAATCTCCACCTTCAGCATTTAGCCTGGGGTCCTGGTGCCAGGATATGGAAGGAACTCCTTCCCGGGAGATTGGGGTACTCAAGAGTGACAACAAGGAAGAACAGCACTAGGAGGAGCTGCTGGGAAGACCCTCTGTGGGTAATCAGATCTGCTATCTCATGGCCTCCTGTTCCTTTTTGGCATGTGCAGTCATAGCCTGCGTTTACAGAAATAATTTTCTAGCTTCTCCCCTGAAAGCTGACAAAAAGCAGGAATAAAAACAGGCTCTTAATCAAAAGGAACCCTAGGTTTCCAACGCCTGCTTAATCAATTTAAATCATCACCTATCTAATCTGCTTAAAACCCTTTAAAAAATTTTTTAAAAAATCTTTTCTATGCTACAAATTGCAAATAATTCTGCTATTTGAAGTTTCAACAACAACAACAAAAAAAAACTGCCTCAGCATTGAGGCAAGTGGAGAAATCTTGGGAGTCAACATGATGGCACAGATTTTTATAAGCCTGACATTATGGGGCTTCACTGTTGCTACTGTTGGTTTTTTTTTTTTTTTTTTTTGGTCATTTGAATAGGAAACCACCTTTAGAATCCTATCCTGCTGTCCCAACACCGGGCAGTCATGCCAGCAGAAGAGCGGGGGTCAGCCCAAAGGACTGCGACTGCTGGCCTGGGAGCCCCAAATATCCTGACCAGGGCTGGCCTCGGCCACAGCTTAGGCTCTGCCTTGCAGGGTTCCCTGGGCCATGGGCTTTTGGTCCAAAGTAGTTGCTCTTTCTTGCATCTGAGAACAAAAATATAGGATGTGTGAACACTAAAAACACCATAAATTCCTCCATTAATGTGACCCTAGAAGGTCATCCAAATCATTCATCCACTCCTCAGAAGTCCTGTTTTTCAGCAGGGAGTCGATCAGGTCGGTGTGCCCAGCCACACTGGATAGCCCACTGCTGCTTGGCTGCCCACTGTAGGTAAAGGGCAGCTCCTGGCCCACGGTCCGCCCAGGGTAGGCCTGGGTGCAGTGCAGTCCCGCCCGGCTGCTCATCTGTGAGGCAGGGCTTTGGCTGAAGGCCCCTAGCTCAGGCCCTGCAGGGTTCAGGCTGGGCAAGCCCTGCTGTGGGGCTGCCTGGGGGGGTGCAGGGGCTGGGGCGTTGGTCCTTTGCTGTGTGCTCACTGGGGGCAGCATGGACCCTGCTGCAGCTGCTGAGCTCATGGGGGCCATGGGCCTGCTGGGCATTGCCTGGGAGAACTGTGGACTGGACATTTTCAGGTGGGCCTGTTGCATGTGGAAACTGGAGGCTGCAGTGAAAGGACTTACATTGCTGTTCCCTGGAGTCTGGCTGTTCAGGTTCGGCATTCCCTGATGTTGCCAGGAGGCATTTTGGCCTCCTATGGACGCTGACACCCTTGGGACTTGTGGCTTAGTTAAACCAGAGGTCAGGGTCCCCTTATTGTGTTGCTGGGAGAGACTGGAGCTCCCCAGGGAGTTCTGTCCATAAGCAGCTGAAACTGAGGTGTTCTGGCCCACGCTGGTCTGCCTTGGAATGTGGGTGTGTCCATTGGTGGCCTGTGGTGGGGGCTGGGCAACCATCTGGGTTATGCCAGAGGCCATACCATAGAGACTGCTCTGAGTCACGCTCTGAGAGCCCGTGAACTGGGCCACACCCCTGTCCTGCTGGCCTGAGTTTGAGGGGAGAGAAGAAACTGAAGCATGTCCAGGGCCCATTGGCATTAGATTCCCAGGCTGAGGGAACACTCGAGGACAGCTGGAGTTGGACGAACCCAAGTTGTTCATGCCAGGCACAGTAGCAGAGGATCCTATAAAACAGAAGATTCTATCAATCAGATCAGCATTTCTTTCTTTTTTTTTTTGGTAAAGTCAACATTTCTTGACTGCCACTGTGGAGACAACTCTAAGACCCAAGTTGTAGCCATTCAGAGGCATGAAAGACAATGTCCTAATACCAGATCCGTTGAGCACAGGTACACTGCCAAGAAGAGAATCCTGGGGGAGTCTTCAGAAAGAAGGTGACAAATACCCTGGGCTTTAGAAGTGTAGAAGTTTAGCAAATTAACAGCTTGGAGGAGAAGAACATTCCAGGCAGAGAAAAGAATGTGTACAGGCCAGAGTTATGAAAGGCAATATAGGGACATTAAGAGGCTGGCTGTGGCTGCAGCAAGGGGACAGTATCTAGTTAGTTAGCAATAAGACAGAAGAGCTAGTCCAGGTCAGACTGAAAAAGCTGAGGATGGCCTGTGAAGAGCAGGCCAAACAGGAGTTGGTCTGAGACTGTGCTTTAGTTCTGCTGAAGAAATAAATGTTCAGGTCACTTTGCTGAGGTAGTGGTAATATGGAGAGGGCTCGGTTAAGTCATTTCACCAGACCCCAATGTTTAAGCCATAAAATAACAAGATGGTCAAGAAGGGAAGAGTCTAGCATGAAAACAACTATTTACTGAGCACCTAGTATGTGGCAGGTGCCATTCTGACAGGCAGCAGGGAAGGCCCCTGTCCTCAGGGAACTTGCTGTCTAGGGTTTTTAGCCTAGGTAACAGGCACATGGTAACACCATTAATCCACACAGGTTTTTTCTGGATAGGAGGATCATTGTTCAGGGATTGGCCACAACTTAATACTTTCCTTTTCTTCTTTCTATTAGTACCTAAATAAAAACTGGGCCAAGGAAAAGAGGAGAGCCCATAATAGCCCATAACAATGTGAAATGGGGTGGAGGCAGGAAACGTGGACCAGACCCAGGGTTCTGAGATACTCGGGGACTCCAATCCCATGTTTTCAGTTGGCCCACACATAAAATCTCATCTGGTCTTTTTTTCCAGGACACAATGATATAGTCATTTTCTCTGGCACACTTTATAGTGAGGGTCATTGACTAAGGAAAGAGGTTTCTAAGATATTGCAAGAAAAGTTAGGAAAGCAGAAATAGATCAGCTCTTAACGGTCACCTGAAACCTCTATGTACTTCTGAAGTGACAGCCCAAGCAAGTTACCCAACACATCTCAGGACAACTGCTGAGACCTCAGTATGCTTCCTACCCTTTCCTGGCTAACTCATGAAGCTGTTTTTGACACCAAAGTGAGTAAATGGGGAGAGAAAAGAAGCAAAAAGCTATAGAAGTACATTAAGTCTCTCCTTATCTAGAAAACAAGAAAGGGTTATTTTTTTGAAGAGACACCTAAAGGAAGAATTATAGAAGCCATTTCCTGTTTGTAAGATGACCTCTGAGTAGACATTATTTTCTTTCAAAGGCATTTCCAGCAATCTGCCTGGTGCTACACAGTGACTAGAGTGATAAGTCCCCTCAACAGACTAAGGCTTCCAGGAGTGAGTAAATCCATTTCAGGCAGGGAACAGGAAATCAGCACTCAACAATAATCAACAAGGAACTGAGAAGACCTGATTGGTATGCTCAAACCTGTTTCTCTCTGCATCCACTCCACCCCCTTACCTGTGAACTGTCCAACCTGCTGTGGGAAGGTGCTTTGTGTTGGGTCTTGGTACTGGGGGGGTGGGCGGGTCAAATGGCGCTGAAACTGCTGCTTCTCCTAGAAGTGCCAAGAATGACAAAACAATACACAAGACAGAAACAAAAACAAAAACAAACAGGAGAGTCAGGTCAGAGAAAAGCAGTGATCAAGATTGTTATTCACAGAGGGGCTCCTGAGGGAATAATGCAGGTGAGCACTATTTGAGCATTAGAGATTGAAATCAGGGGCGTTCCACCACTGAACTATATCTCTAGTCCTTTTTTTAAAATAAGTTTTATTTTTGAAACAGGGTCTCACTCAGTTGCTGAGGATGTCCTTGAATTTGTGATCCTAATGTCTCAGGCTCCTAAATTGCTGGGATTATAGGTATATCACTGCGTCCAGAGCATCTGGGGAACTTTTAATAAATAGTATGAAACCAAAGATACAACGAATAATGAATTAAACAAACAAACAAACAAAAGGCAGGTGTATTAGTTTAGAAAAATGGAGGGTAAGTAAGGGAAATCAAAGCCATAATGAGATACTACTTCATACCACTACGATCAAAAAACAAAAAAAAAAACCCAGAGGGCTGGGGATGTGGCTAAAGCGGTAGCGCGCTTGCCTGGCATGCGTGTGGCCCGGGTTCGATCCTCAGCACCACATACAAACAAAGATGTTGTGTCCGCCAAAAACTAAAAAATAAATATTAAAATTCTCTCTCTCTCTTAAAAAAAAAAAAAAAAAAAACCCAGAGAACTAGGTGTGTATGTCAGTGGTAGAGTACTTGCCTAGCATGTGCAAGACCCTGGGTTCGATCTCCAAAACTATGGAGGGAAAAAACAGTAAGAAAATAAAAAGCATTGGTGAGGATATAGAGAAATCTGCACCCTCATACACTTCTGGTGGGAATGCAAAATGATGTGGCCACTGTGGAAAACAGTCTGGCAATTCCTCAAAAGGTAAACACAGTTACCATATGACTCAGCAATTCCACTAGTATATTCCCAAGATATTTCAAAACATGTGTGGCTGGGCACAGTGCGCACACCTGTAACCCCAGCAGCTCAGGAGACTGAGGCAGGAGGATTGTGAATTCAAGGCCAGCCTCACCAACATCGAGGTGCTACACAACACAGTGAGACCCTGTCTTTAAATAAAACACAAAAAAAGGCCTGGGGATGTGGCTCAGTGGTTAAGTGACTCTCTGGATTTAATCTCCAGTACCAAAACAAAAAAACAAAAAACAAAAAACCCAAATCACAAGTCTGCATAAAAATTACTAAATCAACGTTCAGAGCAGTGTAATTCATAGTAGTCAACAAGCAGAAACAATCTAAATACTCATGAACAGATGGATGAATAAATAAAATGCAGCACAGCGATACAATGGATTATTCAGCTATAAAGAGGAATGAATGACTAATAAAAGTACCCAGTTGAATCTTGAGAACATCTACACAAAATGCCTAGAATAGGCAAATGTGCAGAGATAGAAAGCAGATTAGACACCGTATAGGGTTGAGGAGATTGGGGAATGAAGAATGTACTCATGGATATAGGTCTTGTTTTTAGGTGAAGAAAATATTCTTGGACTGTAGTGATGGATGCAAAATTCTGAATACATTAAAAACACTGAATTGTACGGTTTAAATGAGTGAATAATATCTTACATGAACTATACCCCAATAAAGCAATAATTTTTAAAAATGGCAGAATTGGGTCAGTGATCATTCTCAATTAGACTTCATTCCCTTGAGCCAGTTCCTATGTAATTAAAATCATGAGAACTTTGACTTAATAACCCTTAGTGCCTGCACACTGCGCTTGGTGACTAAGCCAGTAAACTGTGCATCCTGATTCTAGAACCTCAAGAACATCTTCACTCCTCTCCCCATGTTCTGGCTGACAATAAACTACATTTACAAAGCTGGGACCCATGGTTCCTGATGAACAAGGGAGCTCAGTGACATGGCAAAATGCACTTTATACTTAAAAGTTCTAGTCATAGATTCTGCCTTCATTCATCCCAAGTGACACAGGTAGCTTCAGACATAGGCCACCTCTGTTGGAGAAATGCCACACTCCTAGAAAGTATATTTTAAAGGACAAAGCATTCTAACACCAGGCATACAAGCAAAACAAGGTAAATCCACAAGTGCAAATAGAGTCTGCTTGATTTTCTTCCTTCTTTCTCTTTTTACCTGTTCTGCCAGAAGGTGCTGCTGCTGCCTCTGCAGAAACTGTTGTTGCTGCAAATGTTTTTGCTGCTGCTCCCTCTTCTGTTGGTCCAAAAGCAATTGATGCTGTTTCATTACAGCTGCCTGCTGCTGGCTGCTGAGATAGGGGGAGCTGTTGTGAGTGTTGGCCACGGACACAGCAGGTGGCTGGGTCCCCACGCTGGCAGCCTGGGCTGGCACAGGGATGCTGGAAGGGTTCTGCTCCTGTCAACACAGATGAAAAGGATAGAGTCAGGGGTGGGTGGGTGGAGTCTTCATGCTCTGATCAGTCCAGATGAGCTCCAGCTCTAGGGAGAACCTCATTCAAGGCTCACTCTCTTAAGTCAAGCCTCTGCTTCCCAGCTGACCTCCTGTAAAACTTTCCAGTGGGATGCGGCAGAGACCAAAACAGATGCTACCTGAGCACTTGACATGTTAGCTTGGCTCCCTACGGTTCACCAGTGGCAAAAGTGTGGTTTAACTTAAATTAAGCATATTCAAGCTCTCAAATTTCCAAGTTCCAGTAAGCAATAAAGACTTATAAATGCTAACTTACCAGAACATGTGCATGAAAAGAGACCCATAATCTGAGGGAGCTTCTGTTCAACAGAAACGTTATATCCCCAGGGTGTGGACCTGGGTTTCGGCTATCCCTGAACTGCCAGGAATCATATGTCTATCTACTTGCATATAAGCATTTTTCTGGGAAGAAACTGGTTAGCTTTTTGTCAGATACTATGCTCAAAAAATACTGCGTTATCAATGGAAACTTTAGCAGATTCTCTGTTAATATATAAACCAAAAATAGGAGTCATGTCAAAGGCTACCATATTATTCCAGAATCATTACTCACATGTAGAAGAATCGGAAAACAGTACAGGGAAAAGGCAAAAAGCAATTATTATTCAAACAAATTCAACTTCTTGAGCTCCTCTGCAGTTCTTATTCGTTCGTGCATATAATCTTCCCAAGATTCTTAGATTCTGATAGTATAATTCCTTCACCCTGTCACCAGAAGCTAAAGGGCTCCTTGAGAGTACTCTGTAAGATACTTACCAGCATGTTGCTCTCCTTTTCTGAAGTTCATATGTAATAGCTATGTACTTTTTTTTGTTTTATTGTTTTGAGATCATATCAATTTATTGTGTATGTATATACTTTTCAGAAATGAAAAGAATATAATGACAATTATTTTTAAACTTCACTTAAGTTTTCTGGTCTCTAATCTTTTGAGGATAAGACTAAGCTTCAAACTGAGAAGCAATCTCCAAAGCAGAAATGAACAATACATACAAAATATGAGATACAAGTGGGAGGGAGTCTCATGTCTTTCTTCATATCTGTCCACAGCCTTGGCCTCCAGAGTTCAAATGTAGAAGAAATATATTAAAGGCAAACTTCTTATTTTGAAATTTGGCTTGGGCCTAACGGTCAGGTTATAGATGTCTGTTTCCTCTTGAGTTGTGGATTTAAGCACCATCATATATATGCATACATGTCTACATGCATTTCTGTATAACTCAATACCATCTAATAAAAAAATCCAACTTTAAATTAGTGGACATAGGGTAAACAGTAGGCAATATGTCATTGAATCCTGACATTCTCCCTATAATGGGTTTATTAGTTATCTATCACTGGATAACAAGCAACTCCAAAACTTATTAACTCATGATTTATCTGGGAAACAATTCAGGCAGGGCATAGATGGGCTCCTCCTGTCTTATGTGATTAGCTGATGGTTCACAAGGAGGCTCAGTTTTAGAGGGTGATCTAGCTGTCACTGGGGCACCTTGATTCTATTCCCCTGGAAGTAGAATCTAGTAGATAACACAGGCTCATTTCCCACCTTCCAGGGCATCCTTGGGTCCTCCCTATAGCTCTTCCAGAACCTGTACCTGTTCAATTCCTAGTAATGCAAAAGAAAAAAGGAAAAAAAAAAAAAAAAGTGAAGCAGTTCACTTACCTGGCCAGGTTGAACTAGTGATCGGAAGGGCATATTTCCGGGCTTTGGTTTCATTGAAGTAAACAAGGAGTTCTGCTCATTATTCAGATGAGGCAGCTGCTGAGGAAGATAGGCCATCAAAGCTGGCTTGCTCTGGCCAGACCCAGGACCACCTTGCCCACAGTCCGCTTTGTAATGAGAAAGGGGTTTTGTATTGCCGTAGTCTAGCATTGAACCTTGGTTATTCACTGAGTTCTGATTCAAGTTACCCAGTGGCTGGTGACTTAGCAGGTTCACATGGCCTGACTGGAGGTAGGCACCTCCAGGCCGAGGGGAACTCTTGTTTACACTAGGCATCATGAGCAGTTTGGGGTTGGAGAAGTCTTGCTTGTAGCTGGAAGGGCTGGCAGGTTTCTCCATGGCATAAGGGACATCTAAGGGACTGTGGGAAGGTCCCGTCTGCTGCCATGTGGACATCTGGCCTGGGGTGGATGCTGGGGTGGCCTGCTGTGGGTTCTGGAGCATTTGCTCGCGCTTCTGCTTGGCAGCAATCTGCTGGAGCTGGTGGGCAGAAGACAGCTCTGAGGCCCCTCCTGGGCCCTGGCTAGGCAATACCACACTTGGAAGGGCCCTTTGTGCATTCTGGGCTTGGGCTGATGCCGGCATCAGGTTAGAACTGGGATTGTCTGCCACAGGTTGACCAGAGGTATGAAACAGTGTCTGAGGACCTCCAAGGCTGGGGGAATCTGTGCTAACAGGGGCAGATGATGGCCCCAGAAAGGTCTGTCCTGCAGAACCAGTCCTGACTTGTGGAGAGCCTAACTGTTCTTGTTCAAAGGCTGCTGGAGAGAATTCTGTCTTAATATTAATGTCTTGGGCCAAGGGGGTTTGGGTGGCAGAGGCAGAAGGCTCTGGATCTTTCTTTTCCTCAAAGTCCTCTGTAAACAGGTCCTTCATGTCTTCATCAGGCACTGACCTGTTTAGCTCCTCGATAAGCTCCTTCCACTCCTGCTCGTTAAGGTTAAGGTCAGGCATGAGGTTGCTCTGTGATATAGAACCCCCAGCCCCAGCAATCATGCAGGGCAGGTCATCAACAGGTTCCTGCTTCAGTTCTTTATTCAGGCTCAGAGGAAATGACTCACCAGGGTTGCTGCCTCCATTCAAGTGGAGGCTGGAGTCTGCAAGACACTTTTTGTTGATGGAGTCGAGCCCCAGGGAATGCTTTCCACTGGACTGCAGGGAATCGCCCCCAGTATTGTCAGGTGGACCAAGGGGTGAGGCTGGAGGCAGCCCATTGGTAGACACAGCTATGCCCAGAGGGGCCTCCCTGCGGGTCTTCTTATGCCCAGGAAAGAGATCTCCATAGCCATTTTGTTGATCACCATTCTGAGGGGAGGCAGCACTGTCAAGATTCCTCTTCACTGTATCATGAAGATGCTGAAAACATTGGAAAAAGAAACTTAGATACCCAATAACATGTCCAAGGTTCCCTCTGCTTCCAATAGTGACTTAAACCAGCATCCCTTCAATCCTTTCCTGTGGGTGTGCACCGCCCACTTGTGGGGAACTTCCTGGCCAGTCAGAATTGGATGTCTAGTTCAGCCAGGGGAAAGCAATGCAGTAAACCCTGTCTTTTTGCAGGATACAAGCCTGATTGATGCTGCCCACCGCCACCTAGTTTGAGAGTTTGCCCAAGAATAGAGCTAAGGAAAAAAGAGCCAGTGGACACATCTACATTCTTGAGGACACCACTGGAGCCTTGAATCTTATCATACCTGAGACCAGTCATCCTCCTGGGTTTTGTACTTACATGAACCAATAAATTTCTTCTTGTGTTTAAGCTGGTTTAATTTGGATTCTGTTACTTTCAGTAGAGGAAGCCCTGGCCCATGCTCTGGTCAAGGTGTGTGCTGTCCTCAAGTACCCTGCTTCTACTAGGTTGCATAGGCCTGGTTCTTCTTCTTCTTCTTTTTTTTAAATTAGTACATATTAACTATACAGAATAATAAGTTTCATTGTGGCATACTGTACATACATATAACATCTCTGATCATTTTTATCTCCCCTTCCCCCTCTCTCCCCTCCCTTCCTCTTCTCCAATATTCACAGTCGCTTTCTTTCTTTCTTTCTCTCCCTCTCTTTCTCTCCTTACCCCCCTCTCCATCTCTCCCTCCCTCCCACTCTCTCTCTCTTTCTTTCTTTCGTGTGCAGTACTGGGGATTGACTGAGTTATATCTTCAGCTCCTTTATAATTTTGTCTTAAGACAGGGTCTTGCTAAGTTGCCCAGGCCGGCTTTGGATTTGCCATCTCTGTCAGCCTCCTGAGTAGCTGAGATTACAGATAGATATATGCCATCATGCCCAAAGCCCACCTGTCTTCATACCCTTCCTGGGTCTATCCCCTTTCTCCCCACTGAATTGTTCCTTTATATGTCATATAGGATTATGACCTTAAGATTCCATCCACTCTCCTCCCCATCAACTCCTAAGCATCTTCTAATCCCTTGCTCCCAATCACCACCCTTACAAACCTCGTCACTTCTTACTAAGACCCTTAACTGGAACACTATCATGTCTTCTCTGGCACCATTACTTTCTGCTTCCCCATTTTCTCCTCAACTAGATTCGTTCAACTAACCTTATTATGAATCTACTTGTGCCAGGGACAAGGCGCTGTGGGGAATTCAAAGACAAATATTCTACTCTTCATGAGCTTCCAGTCTTCTAGGTCACAGGACATACACAGATATGACTACAGAATAAGACCAATAAGCAGCGAGGCACAGTAGTGCACCCCTGTAATCCCAGCTACTCAGGAGTCTGAGGCAGTGGGAAGATTGCAAGTTTGAGGCCAGCCTGGGCAATTTAGCAAGACCCTATCTCAAAGTAGGGGGTGGGAAAGGGCTGGGGAGGTAGCTCAGTGGTGAAGTAAAAACAAGGCACTATAGCAATAAGTAGCTGAGAGTTCAGGGGCAGGAATTACATGAAAAGAACATGGCAGTGGGGTGGGAAGGAGAAAAGGTGGTTACTTCCCTAGACTCATCTTTAGCCATCAGGACAGACTTTTCATAAGGCCCAGGAGGTGCCTGTTCTCAGTCTCTAAAACTGTGCTGCTCCCTTCCTAGTTTAGTTTTATTATGTTTTGTTCTTCACCCTTCACCCCTAAAGTTATCCTTTCTCTCACTAACCTTAAGCATGTATGGTATATTGTTAAAAATGACCCTCGCCAGGCATGATGGTACATGCCTCGGGAGGTTGCTGAGGCAGGAGAATCATAAGTTCAAGGCCAGCCTCAACAACTTAGTGAGACCCTGTCTCAAAATAAAAAAATTTTATGAAGGGCTGGGAATATAGCTCAGAGGCAGAATGCTTATGGGCTCAATCCCCAGTACCACCCACATAAAGGTCCCAAACAATACCCCTAACTATTATCTCTAAACAAATTCCAAGGAAGTCAGGGGTAGCATGTAGTACTTCCTCTGTTAAATTCAGTTGCAGAGAAGGGCCACAATGCCATCTCACTGGCTGTAAAAGTCAAGTGCCATCGTATTCCTGGGTATCCTGCCTGAGGTAACTCTGAGGGCACTAGCTCTCAGCAGCAGACCATGTGCTGGACCCCACAAAGGATAATTTTCTCAACCTCAGTTCAAGTCTAATGCTCCTATTCCTTTTTTCCTTTTTAAACCATATTAAGGTTTCATATTTTTTAAATGCTAAAGTTGACCGCACAAAACTGTGTAAATCCCAGCTGAGCATCTCTCTAAATCCATATATGGGTACCTGAATTAGCCTGGAAAAAAAACTTAGGAATGCCTCACAAATGAAACTGTAGGCAGAGGTAAGCAATGCAATTCTAGGACCCAATTTAGAACAGGGCTTCTGTAACCCAAGGATGTTTGGATGCTTTACTTCTATGCAGGTTCTTCTGCTTCCACTGCCACCTAGGGGTGAGTGAAGGCTTCTAAAATGGATGCTTTATAAAATACACTGTTTGAAAAGTTTCTTTTGAAAAGGTATATTCATCCTCATTTAACTGGTCAAAAGAAATAAACATGAGTTGCTAATATTTCTTTTATTTCTATGTTTTCTGTTATTTTCTTTTGTTCCACAGAGGTCTAGGATGGTCTGTAAACCCTAGAGTTTAGTATTTCATCTTCCTAAGGGAAAAGATGGAAAGCTAAGGGGGTCAAGGCATTTGATGAGTCAGCTGGCTGTCCCAGATTAGAAACAGAATCCCTCTTTGCCCTAACAATTATAAAAGCTGCCACTCCCTCTTTCAAGAGCCGCATGCAAACAGCTGCAGACAAGTTCCAAAGGAACAACTCAATTTTGCAATACCCACTGCTTTTAGCCAAAGGAAACACTGGGCAGTTTTCTCAACTACTCACAAAATTTAACTGGAATGATGTAGGCGGGAATGGGGAGTGTGGAATGCGGTGGCCCTGGCAGATTTTTAAGACTTGGGCATTTGCAGGAGTGTTGGATACATGCAGGGCATTGTAGGGAAAGCAAAGATGTGTAAGCCTTAGAGCCTAATCTTCAGGCATTTACAATGGAATTGGGAAAACAGCCTAAACAGTTTAAAAGCTATGTAAAAGAGAGTAGATGTTATAAAGCAATACAAATCTGGCTGCCCCCTATATGCTCAGAGTAAGTGGACTTTTAGGTGCTCGGCTCAGAGGCTCCTGTTCTAACTACAGAATGGTTTCAGTGGCATATAGGATTCCAGAAGGATCTAGTTCTGGGAAATGATGCCAGAAGCTTATGATCTGCTGAAGAACAGTGCATACTCATAGATGGCTATCAAGGAACAACCCCATAGGCCCAATTCCCACCCTATTCTGGGCCAGCTCTCTCATGGGGAGGCCTCAACCCTCTAGGTGCCATCTGCCATCTTCTTTTTGCGAGAGGGGTTCTGGTATATCAGTGCTGCTCTGAATCAAGCTGAAGCAAGCCACACCTTGTGGACAACAAATCAGCATCCTGTCCAACCCCCACACATTAGTAGACAGTAAGGACCTTCCTCTAGTCTCCACTTCCTCCTTCAACCATCACTGCTGCAATCCCAGCGTGCTTTGTGGTCAAACTCACTACAAAATGACACCTACTTGCTTCCATTCTGAGTTAACAGATGGACTGCTAAAGACAGGAGTGGTTTCCTCGTATTGGTATTCCTTACCCATTGGCAGCCAGCTGGGGAGGCCATGATGAGGCACTTCCTGCCCCCCACCCTCCCCCAGCACTGGGAATTCCTTTTTTTCTCCTCCAACTTCTCCTCCTCCTGTCACCCTCCTTTCAGTCAGATACCCCCAGTCTCACCCAGCATCTCAGTCCTCTGAGGTTATGTGGTTTCTATTCCTCACAGTTTGGGAATGGATTGGATGTGGGAAAGAAGAAAGGATGGAGTTAGGATTGCCATCTCCATGCGGGGATGATGGTCTGCTACTTAATGATTTGACTCATTTGCTTCAATCTTTAAAGTGCTCTTTCCTCACATTTCTCTCCCACCCTCTCTTACCTTCTACTCCTGGGGTTGTTTCCTCTGTCTCCCTTGAAAAGTCTCCCCCTTTCTTGCTCTTCAATTAACTGGAGTCCTCTCCCCTGTTCCTTCCACACACTCTCCCATGTCCTCATGTGCCTAGGACTGCAGATCATACTCAGAACAGGCCCAACTGCCCCGGGATCAAATGCTGAGCCAGCCAGCCCCGGCTCCTCCAACCTCCTTTCCCATCTCCCAGTCTGCACCATGCTGTCACACACCAGTCTTACAGCTGCTCAAATGTGCCCCCTCATTCCTGTTGCAGGGCCCCTGTACTTGTCTTTGCCAGAACACTTCTTCCCTCTGATCTTTAAAAGGATGACTCATCTGTAATTCAGGTCATTTATCTCCTCAGTCACTCCTTGATCACCTGCTCCTCCCCACAATCACGCTCTTTCCTACTTCCTGGTTGACTTCCCCAATGGGGCACTCATCTGAATGGGCCTACCCCTCCCAAGAATGATGAGCAAAGACCCCAGGCCTAAAAAAGGGCCAACCACTCAATAAGCATTGGTGTCTGAACGTAATGTCTCTGGCCTGGAACTTTTGCAGACCTCTTAATTCCCATCTGTCCACCTACTTAACCAGCATGCCTCTACTTGGGCGTTCACTGACAACTCAGGTGAAATCTGTCCAAAGCTGATTTCAGCTTCTCCAGTCCTATTTTCCTTTCCCTGCTCTCACAGAGAATGTCAGTACTAGCCATTTAGTCACATAAACCAAAAAAGCAGAGAGCAGCCCTTGACTCCTCCTTCTTCATTACTCCCATCCAATCAGTCCCAGGTTCTTGGCCTTTTTTCTCTTCTTTTCTTTCTTGTTTCTTTTTTTCTTTCAGTGCTGAGGATCAAACTCAGTGCCTTGCAAATACTAGGCAATCACTCTACCTCTTAGACTTTCT